AGGCAAAGCCAGGGCAGTCATTCCGTGGACGTCACCGCTGTCCCATCCCTGGGTGTGACTCATCCCTGAGGCTCCAGCAATGCAGATTGCCAGGGACAACATCCAGCTGCCCCCTGGATCTCACTTGGAGCTTTGCAAACAGCACTTAGGCACCAAATCATCCCTGAGATGCTCTCCTTGATTCATCCTGCAGTGCCACTGTGGGATCCTGGCAGACTGCGACATATCTGTCATTCCCACGGTGTGATGGGAACATGGTGAGGATAAAATACTGCCACAAATCCCTCTCCTTTCTCTCCCATCATGAGAGCTCTGCCCTCCCATCCAGGAACAGCCCCTAAATCTGAGTCTCGGCTTGGAAAAAAAAAAAAAAATTTGTGCAAACAGGGCTTCAGGCTCCGGGAAACAGGAATTTCCAGTCTGAGCTGCTGGAGAGTGACAGGACAAGGGGGAATGGCTTCCCTCTGCCAGAGGGCAAGGTCAGTTGGGATAATGGGAAGGAATTCCTGGCTGTCAGGGTGGGGAGGCCCTGGAATGGGCTTTCCAGAGAAGCTGTGGTTGCCCCATCCCTGGGAGTGTCCAAGGCTGGGTTGGATGGGGCTTGGAGCATCCTGGGGTAGTGGAAGGTGTCGCTGCCCATTGCAGGGGGTGGGGCTGGGTTATCTTCAAGGCCTTTTCCAAACCAAACCATTCTGGGATTCTGTGATCCTAAATAATTGCTGGTAGATTTTGTATGAGTCGGCTGCAGGAAGAGACATGGACATAAAATTTCATCCCTGACAGGGAAATCCAACAGTAGTATTTTATCCCTGGAAAACGCAATTTAGTTCATGCCTGTAGTGAAACCCCCTTAAAAATTATCTCAGACTGAGATGTGACCTGCTCCAGGCTGCCCACACAGATCAGGGACACCAAAGACATCCAGCTGAAGCAAAAACCAAAAATGAACTCAATTTGTTGCTAAAACAAATGGGTTTCCAACACAAGCAGTGTCTCCCCTGAATTTCTTGGCAGAAATCCCTACTCCTGCAGAAAGGCTTGTCAGCTAGATCTCTGTACTTTTTGGAGAGGCAGCAGCAGATATTTGATGAGCTCTATGAATAGAGTTGTTGATTCACCGCAAAATACAGGAAAAACTGGGGAGAAAACAAATCAAGTCAGTTTAAACTGCTGACACATTCCTGGGTTGGGGAGGGAACTGTAAAAAGTGTTTTGAAGAAAGACAATCACTTGGTAGCCCCCACAGCAGAATGGATTTCTGATTTGACCCTAAGCATATTCAGAATAAAATTACCAAGTGTGATTTGAGAACTAAAAAAACCCCTTTTTGAAAAATTTCTGGAAGTATTGAGGAATGGTTTTCAATGAAGAAAATGCAAATATAATCCATTCAATATCTCCTATTGAATTAAAATATTTAGATATTTTGAATGAAGAATTTATCCTTCCTCTTGTGCTGGGGAACTGGAGAACAACAAAATGAAATCATGGTTCAACTTCCTGCCCCCATTTTGCTGATAAAAGTGGATGCCCAGAGGTTTGGCCAAAGAGATGCTTCAAATGCAAGAGAATTCAGGGAACTGAGTTCCTTTTCAGCATTCAGGAGGCTTTTAAAAACCTGTATTTACAAGAAATTATTGTGTTTGTGGGTTTTTGTTGTGACATCAAAGACTGACAGCATGGAAGGAACCAAAGCTCAGTGTTTGAGCTGGAATTCACAACCCCCCCGGGGTCCCTGAGCAGGAACTCTTGAGCTCTGATAACCCACCTCACCTTAAAAACAAGTTCTGCAGGGTGATTAATTTGCTCTGGAATTATTTACTTGTCTAAATGTCAGCAAAAGATTTTGTGTTCTTAAAAAAAACTTCTTTTCAGTGACACTTCTTTCAACAGAAAGACTTTGCAGGTGCTGCCAGCACAGTTACAAAGGCTTTGGGCTTTTCATCCAGCTGCTTTTAATACATTTTACCAAAAATTCCTCTTTCGGTGCCTTCCATGAGTTTGAGCACAGAGCAGAGCTGAGGGGCTTGAATTTTTAACTTTGGCTTTCTCTTATTTTTCCCTTTAAATGTGAACTTCTCACATTTCTGATGCTCATTTGTGACATAATTAAAACAGCTCTCTCGTGGATATTCTTGGAATTGTTACAGCAGGTTCTGCACCTTGGTGTCACCACCTCCAGGAATATTCCTAAGTGTGTTCCAGGTGAGTCCAGAGTCAGAAGGGAAAGGAATCTTCCCCATCCTGTTGGGTGTTCATGCCCGCATTACAATATTATTAATTATTTTGCTCTGCAATAATTAGATCCTGTCTGAGGCCAGTATTTAAAGGCCATCAGGCAGCAGAAAAAAAAAATACATAAAATCTCATTAACCACTGAAGCCACTGATGGGAAGATCCACTCCATGAAGTTTCTCCTCTTTTCCTCCTCCTTTAACTCCTCACGGATCCCTGAACACAATCAGGGTTATTCTCCTGCTGATCCCACACTCAGGAGATTTCCTGGCTGCTGAAGCCCCACGAACACAGGATCATCCCCTCTGTGCTGGGCTCCAGGGGAGCTGTGCTCCATGAAATCCTCAGGGAACACGTCCTGGCTGAAGGCTCTGCTCCTTTTCCCTGAGTTTTATGGATAATGATCTCCTGAGCAGCAAAACCAGTCGGGCCAGACGCTGCCCAGCCACCCGAGAGGGCTCCAGGGAGGTTGTTTGCATGGAGCTGTGACAGTGGGGCATGAAAGGAGGTTAAATATGTTTTATTGAGCTTAGATTTGCCACCTCCCAACCTCAGCAGGTTTATTTCCCTTCTCTTTGTATCCTGGGAGGCTGTAAATAACTTCAGTGCTTCCCCGGAGGCGGCTCTTGCAGGCACACAGTGAATGTGGGGTTGGATGTGGGATGCATGGGGTGTTTCCAATGGTCTGGAAGTCGTGGGTTTGGGTTTTTTTAAATGAAAATTAAATAAAGGTGAACTTCCATTCATCAAAATTTGAATGAAAAAGGAATATTCATTTAGACCTCACAAATGGAAAATAAAGAAGGAAGAAGAGGGCAGGAACAGAAACCACTCAACTTGGCTCCCAGAGCTCTTATAGGGATGGACATTCCTGATGTGGCGATCTTCCAGGTCAACAGAAAATATGAATTTATCAGCCTGAAAATTAAGTTTTCTGCATTCCTAAGAATTTAACTCAATCAACACACTGAGAAGTCATTCAATTTCTGCTCTTCCTTAGCTTTGGGCTCCCTGCTGCAAAGAAATAACTCTCCACACTCAAGAGGTTATTGAGAAATTGTTTTATTAAAGCTCAGCCAGAAGATGAAAATAAATGTAAGGGTGGCTGGGAGCACTGGGATGAGCTGCCAGGAACTGCCAGGACACAGAGGGACCTTCCACAAAGGGTCCCCAAAAACTTAACCAGGCCCCAGGCTTTAATTTGAGAGGTTTTGGGAAATTCAGGTGGTGATATGGGGGCCAAATAAAAGGGCCACTCAAAGTTTCCAGCATTTCCAGCATGTGTGGAATATTGGCCAGCTTGGCAATGTGCAGGATGAAGTAAAAACCTGCAGATTCCCAGAACAATTATGCAAATCCTCTCCTGGTGTCAGAGCATGGGATAAGCCATAGGAGCACCCAGCCCAAAGGTGACCCACTGCCTGACAAACCAGCAACGACCAAAATGCAACAGGAATGCACCAAATAACCCCAAGGAAGCAGACACTGGAGGAAGTTAGAAGAATCAGGATTGGGCTGTGGTGGAGGAAACTTCATGCTGCTCCTTGGGGGCACCAAGCCATTGAGTCCCTTCACATGTAACCACAGACCTGCCAAAAACTTCAACAGGCTTTTTGCCCTCTCTCCTTGAAACAGTAACAAAACCAAAAATGTGACAGTTCTGAAGTCAGGTTTTGGAGTGTTAAAAGTGCTTTTCTTGGCTGGGTGCTGCAATGGAGGTGCATGGTCCCCATGAAGCCATCAAGATTTGCAAGGTCCTTGTGCAATTGAGCAAGGTGTGCATGATCTTTACATTATTATATAAGGTGTGCATTGTCCTTACATAAATGCACAAGGTGTGCCTGGTCCCCGTGCTCCACACAAGGTGTGCAGGGTCCCTGTGCCAACAGGAAAGGTGCTGGCAGTCCTTGTGCACCATGCAAGAGGTTCCTGGTCCTCGTGCTTCCAGGTGAGGTGTAAATGGTTATTCCATCACTGTACAAGGTGCAACCAGTCCCTGTGCTGCCATCCAAGGTGTGCATGGTCCCTGTGCCATCAGGAATGGTGTGCACAGTCCCTGTACCGTCAGGAGTGGTGTGCACAGTCCCTGTGCCCTAAGGAGTGGTGTGGTGTGCATAGTCCCTGTGCCAGCAGGAGTGGTGTGCACAGTCCCTGTGCCGTCAGGAGTGGTGTGCACAGTCCCTGTGCCATCAGAAGTGGTGTGCATGGTCCCTGTGCCCTAAGGAGTGGTGTGCATGGTCCCTGTGCCATAAGGAGTGGTGTGCACAGTCCCTGTGCCCTCAGGAGTGGTGTGCACGGTCCCTGTGCCATCAGGAATGGTGTGCACAGTCCCTGTGCCCTCAGGAGTGATGTGCACAGTCCCTGTGCCATAAGGAGTGGTGTGCACGGTCCCTGTGCCATAAGGAGTGGTGTGCACGGTCCCTGTGCCATCAGGAATGGTGTGCACGGTCCCTGTGCCAGCAGGAGTGGTGTGCATGGTCCCTGTGCCGTCAGGGAAGCTGTGTGTGATCCCCATGCTGCCATGTGAGGTGTGCATGGACCCTGCATCCCTGAGCAAGTCGTGCATGGTCTCTGTGCCATCAAGGAAGGCGTGCATGGCCCTTACACCACTTTACAAGCTACACATGGTCCTTGCACCATCATGCAAGGTGTCCACGTCTCCTGCCCCGCTGTTCCAGGAGCACAGGACATTCTCCCTCCCACCAGACACCGTTTCTCGCCCGGTGAATCCCCGAGCGCTGCTGCAATGCCCCCGCAGCCCCGGCTCAGCGCAGGCCGCGGCCGGGGCAGGGCAGGCAGGGGCAGCAGGAGCAGAGGCCGAGAGCCGCCCTCAGCAGGGCCGAGCGCCGCGACGGCCGCTGGTACTTGGCGGCTCTCTTCACGCCGCCGCCCGTCTGCGCCGCGTAGTCCAGGGTGCGCAGGACGTGCTGCTCCACGCTGTCGGCAGCGCCGTGCTGCTGGGCCAGCAGCCCCTCCAGCTGCACGAACAGCCCGCGCAGCTCCAGCATCTGCGCCTCCAGCTCCAGCAGCTGCCGCTGCCGCGCCTGGGCCAGGCCCAGGTGATGCTTGGCCTTCAGCTCCTCCAGGTCGCGGCCGACGATGCGAGGCCCCTGGGGGCTCTCGGCCAGCAGATCCACGTCCTGGGCGCCCAGGTTGATGCCCGCCAGCTCCGCCTGCCTCTGGATCTGCTCCTTCAGCCGGTGCCGGTAGCGGCTCTCCCGGGCGTAGTGGCGGGCGAGGACGGCGCCGTAGCGGCGCAGCAGCAGCCACAGCTGGGTCTGGCGGACGCGGGGCCCCGCTCGCCCCGAGCCCCCGAGCGGGGCCGCCGGCAGCGCTCCCAGCCGGGGCTGCAGGGCCGCGGCCTGGCGGGCGAAGGCGGCCCGGGCCGCTCCGAGGCCGCTCTTCTCGCGGGCGATGCTCTCCTCCGAGGTGCAGCACAGCACCGACTGCTGCGTCCTGTCGATGCTCTCCGAGAGCTGCTCCAGCCGCTCCAGCGCCCGCCACAGCTCGGCCGCCTCCCGCAGCGCCCGGCCCACGGGGCTGGCGTCGTCCCCGACGAACGCGGGGTTGTCGAAGCGCAGGGAGTCGTCGTGCGGGTCCCCCTCGGCCGCCACTCGCTGCTGCAGCTCCGCCAGCCGGTCCCTCATGCTCTGCGGGGCTCCGGCACCGTCTGCGGGGACGTGTGAGGCTGGAGCTCCTGCGGGAGCGCTGCGAGCCTTCCCTGCTGGCACCAGAGCAAATATTGATGGAGGAGGGCAGGTCCTGCGTCAGCCCCGGGCCGGCCACCGCCGGCGGAGGGAAGGGCTCGGCCCGGGCAGAGCGGGAGAAAGGCCCGGGCCGGGAGCGCTGCCAGCACCGCCCGCACCTGCGTCACGGGACGGGCTCCGGCTCCTCACCTGATCCGCCGAGGCTCGGCACAAAGACGCTTTTATTCACCCAGAAACAAGGACACCCGAAGTCTTGTCAGACGGGGCATGGAGGCGCTGGCCCAGCCGGTACCCTCGGCCTTCCAAACGGCTCCAAACTGCCAGCGGCCTCACACTGTGCCCAAAGCCAGCTCCTGGATGTAACAAACGACACAGAGTCACTGACTCTGCCAGGCTGGCAGGGACCCGCGGGGATCACTGAGCTCAGCTCCTGGCCCTGCACAGCAGCATCCCCCAAAATCCCACCCTGGCCCGAGGCGCTGTCCAAACGCTCCCGAACTCGGACCGCGCCGTTCCTGTTGAACTGGACAGGTGGGATGGAGGCAAGGCTTGGCAAAGCTCTCCCTGCTCTGCGGCTCGGGGAGGCTTCGGGGCCACACGGTGCCCGCGATGTCACCGGCAGCGCCCTGCACGCCTGAGCCATCGTGGGGGTGAAGTCAAAAAGGCGCTCCTGGGGTTCTCCGGGCTGGAAATGAGCGTTGGGATGACCCAGCTGTCCCGCACATCACTGCAAGGCAGTGTTGAGTCCACTCGCTGCTGAAATGCATAAAAATCACAGCTGAATGCTAAGACGTCTATAAAAAATACCTTTAAAAAGGTACTTCTACAAACACATTACCAAAGTGCATGGGAGAAACAGTTGTTCTCTACCTCTCTGGTATTTTGTATAATGTATTTTATAACGTGCATTATCCCATATGATCTTAACATCATGATATAAAGTATACAACAGCTATGATATAATATCAATATAATATCAAATCAATATAATCTCGACAGAGGGACTGCCAAGGGAGGTTTAGCAAAGACCAAGCAGCTCTGAAGGGAGTGGAATTCCTTCCCTCCAATGCCATCTGATGGATGTACATAAAGGGGGGGGCTCCAGCATCTCTGCAAAACAAGTTTAATTTTGTTCTTTGTAACCATCAAGAAAAAAAAAAAAAAAGAAAGAAAAAAGGAAGAAAAAGCCCTTTTGTGCCTGGGGTTTGGAGGATGAGTGTTGTGTTGAAATGGAGATATTCATTCCCATTGGAGAGGAAATGCCACTGGAATCAGTGCAATAAAGTGAAATGTCAAATAAGTCAGCAGATTAATGAGGGGAAAAGTCAAAATAGAATGACAGAATCCCAGAACCATTAATGCTGGAAAAGGCCTCCCAGACCACCGAGTCCAACCTGTGCCCGATGCCCACCTTGTCCCCAGCCCAGAGCACTGAGTGCCACCTCCATCCTTCCTTGGACACCTCCACGGGTGAGGACTCCACCACCTCCCTGAGCAGCCTTTTCCAATGCCTGGCCACCCTTTCCAGGAAGAAATTCCTGCTGAGTTTATTCCATGTATTTATTGTCAGCACCTGCCCCTGGCTGAGCACCAAGCCCCCCTGGCAGCTCTACAGAAACCCAGCCCCATCCACCGCCAAAATCCCTGTTTAAACAATGTTATCACTGCTATTTAACAAGGGCAAGAGCAGAGGAACAATTCCTTGTTTCCCATGAAATATCCCTTAGGTAACAGGTACAACCTTCCCCTGGAGCCATCACCCCCTGAACCCACCCCTGTCCCACAGTGGCCGAGGGACCTTGCCCAGAGCCTCCTCCTCCTCCTCCCCTTTCATGGCATTTTTAGCCATTTCACAGCACTTTTAGGCATTTCCCCCTTTTTTTCGAAATCCCTGTTTAAACAATGTTATCACTGCTATTTAACAAGGGCAAGAGCAGAGGAACAATTCCTTGTTTCCCATGAAATATCCCTTAGGTAACAGGTACAACCTTCCCCTGGAGCCATCACCCCCTGAACCCACCCCTGTCCCACAGTGGCCAAGGGACCTCCCCCAGAGCCTCCTCCTCCTCCCCTTTCATGGCATTTTTAGCCATTTCACAGCACTTTTAGGCATTTTCCCCCTTTTTTTTTCTTCCAAGAAATCATTAGCTGCTTCTACCCTTTTATCCCAGAAAAATGGGATTTTTGGAGCCAAATCAGATGGTGACTGGGCTGAGGGTCTCCATCCCATCCTGCTCAAGACCTTCACAGTGTGCAAAAGCTTCTCTATTCATTTATAAATAAAGTTTCTATATCCAGTTTATAAAACTTCCAATTAAAACGATAAAATTAGCCAGTTGCATCAAAAAGCAATTTTTTTTACATTACAACCTCCATTTTACCTACTTTTTTTTTTTTTTTAAACCTTTTAATGTGTCAGCTACTCAGGAAGCAATGCAAAACCAAAGTACGAGTTTCTCTTTTTATTTTTTTTTTTATTAAGACAATCCCACAGCTGGAAAATGAAACATCCTAGATTACATCAGTGACTTCAAAAAAACTCTAGAAAAAAATCTTTACAAATTTACATTTGTACAATACAAAAAACTAACAGCTCATTGCATATAAATATTACATTTGGTCTGCCAACATGTGGCATCAAAATCCCTGAAGTATTCATTAAAGGGACCTGAGATAGCAGATGTGAAGATATGGGCATAAATATCACCTGAAAAAAAAATAATATAGAAAGTAGACATAATTCTAATAGTTTTGTGCATTTTTGGAGTATTTTAAATCCAGAACACAACCTGGAGAGCCTAAATCATGTGAATTTTGCTCTGACATCAAGTGGTATTTCTACATGAAATCTGCTCTAATGACTCATGGAGGAATGAAGAGCCTGAATTAATATTTCTACAGAAAAATAATCCTCAGACACTGAGTTCTGAACACACCCAAGCAGCCACCACTCTCTGAGGAAGAATTTTAGGAAGAGAAACGGTGGATTTGGATTTTACCTGCAAATATTCCGGCAGGATTTCACCCCCCACCCCCCCAAACAGCTCCTCACAGACCCAAAACCCAGGAAGATCCGCAGTGCTCACCAGTGAAAACCCCCAAACCGAGGAACTGCTCCTAATTTCCCACTGGTGGAATTATTTCCCAACTATTTACACATTTGCCAGCTCCCCAGCGTGGCTGCAGTTACTACCAGGAGTAGTAACTCCAAGTGCTTGGTTTGCCTTGGAAGTCTCACAGACTCGGATCAGGTACCCACATCCACACACAAAAATGTATTTCAGCACCATTTTTAGAACACTAGAGTTAAGGCTGTGACAGCAATTCCCACTGGAAATCTCAATTTTTCAGGGATTCATAGCACAGTTGTGTGAGTCGCTGTGGGCCGAACAGGACGTAGTAAAAATATACAAGCTTCCAACAGGTCTTTGCATTTCTAAGACTAAAAAAAGACGAGTTTTTAGACTAAATTTTGCAGGCTGTTACTTACTGTACATATAGGAGTATTTTTACCATTTGTAAACCTTGGATATATTAAAGAGTTGAGAAGTCTCTGTCGCTCATGCGCAGGGATTTGCTATAATACACATTGTAAGAAGACAAAACAGCTCCCTACCTATTAAATATAGAGTTAGCCTTGGAGGGTTAACTGCTCCTTCAGAAAATCATCAGTATTTTATAAAACTGCAGGATGTTTTTTAAATAAAAAGATAAAATTAAGACATGTAAACACACAAAGACATTTTTAACCCATGAAATCCATGAGAGGACACTCCAGATATCAGGACACAACATCCTCAAACCTACAGCTGTTCACTTTTCCCTGGTGTTCACCACTCAAAGATGGAATGAATCAAGTTTTTATCAAAAATTACTGATTTAAAATTATTTTCTCACGTTAATATTCTGTGATTTGGAGCACAGAGACATTCCTGATAGAACCAAATGCTTTGCAAGAGTCATCTTGTTTTTGGGAGTCAAGTGAGCCTCCAAATATTTTAATTTTTAAAATTAATTAAAAACTCTCTGCCACACCCCTGGTGCCAGCTCCTTTCCATGCTCTCTGAACCACTCAGTCCTTCTGCTTCCCCACAGGAGGAGCAGCTGGGATGGACATTGAGGAAAACATTCCAGGAAAATGAAACTATGCAAACAGGACGATGAATTTGAAGCAACCAAAATCCTCCAATAATTATTTTTCCCCAATTCTTTTTTTAGTTTTTGTGTCTGCAGGGTGGGGGTGGTTGGGATTAGGGTTTGGCCTCTGCTTGGCTGATGGAGAAAGGAGGGATGGAAAGAGGGAGGAGGGATAAAACTGCCCAAATCCATCCAAGTTCAAGCACCAACAGAAACGTTTGGATTAAACTTAACAGCCTGGCAGCTGAAATAAAATTCATCATGATACCCAAAGTTTCCAAGAGAATAAATAAATAGCCTATAAAAGGAAACTACAGGACAGAGGTAGGGCATGGCAAAGAGGGAAATAAACAGTGATGAAGAAAATAAAAAGCAGGTGAAGTTTGGGCTGAATAATGGAATTATTAGGATTGGAAAAGGCTCCAAGATCATCAACCTTCAGCCACATCCCATCACGGCCACGGAACCACCAAGGGCCACATGTGCTCAGTTCCTGATGGTGACTCTGCCAACTCCCTGGGCAGCCTCTCCCAATGCCTGACCACTCTTCCAATTAAAAAAATTTCCCTAATATCCAAGCCAACAGCACCTCACTACTGCCAAACAAGCTTTGCTGTCCATGCCCCAGGCTGCAGAGAAAGGGGAGCACTGCAGGGACAGTGGACTGGGGCTGGGAGAAGCTGACAGCAATGACACCCAGGATTTCAGCCCTGTCTCTGCAGGATGGAGTGTGGGGACCTGAGCCTTTCCCAAGGTGTCCCCAAGGTGCCCCAGCAGTTCAGGATTGGGATCTGCCAGTGGGACATCTCAAGGGAACAGAGGCACCAATGCCCAAACATCTGCAGGAACTGAGGAGCCCCTGGCCTGCTTGCTCACCCTCAGGTACCCCATTGACAATCAGACTTTAAATCCCATTCCTCAGGCAGAGTCTGGAGATTTTTGTTAAAGGTTCAAGGAAAGACAGCACATTCCTGACTCTGCAGCTGCCTGGAGCTCAGCTTGTGGTTGGTTTAAATCACTATTAATCCTGCTTCTGCTGCACCTGTGGGCTCATCTTAAGTTTACCACACCCATAAGTGGCTCCTGATAGGATTTGGAATTTGAGATCATCCAAGTTCCTACAAAAGTGTAATTATTCCACAGAACTATGAGAAATCAACTGCCCAACTCAGAGAAAGAATCCAGACACAAATCCAAGCAAAAAGAACAGCTCTAAACCCAAGTTATTTGTCATGCTTTTAAAAGGTTCTCATGCACAAAAAAAAAAGGTTTTTTACACTAAATTCTGCTGTCCCAGTACCCCCTGCTCTAGCTCATGGGACACAGTAATACTTACGCCACAGCAAAGTGATGCTTCACTGGTATCTTCACAGTACAGAGAAAAGATACAGTTAAGAACATATTTAATCTTACTCTAATTGCTGCTAAAATACATCAACTTATAAAATGATTTCTCTGGAATCCCTGTGGTTTCTCTCTCCCCGACCCCTACACAAAATAAATAAG